CGGGAGAGAGGAGGAGAGAGAGGGGGGCGGATCTAGGGAGGGAGGAGGAGAGAGGGCGTGGAGGAGGAGAGAGAGGGCGCGGGCGGATCTGGGGAGGGAGGAGGAGAGAGGGCGCGGGCGTGGGCGTGGCGGCGCCGGAGATCCACCGGGAGGGAGGAGGAGAGAGAGGGCGCGGGTGGTTCTGGGAAGGTTGGAGGAGAGAGGGCGCAGAGGAGGAGAGAGAGGGCGCGGGCGCGGCGTTAATTAAGTTAGTTTTTTTATTTGCCGAGTGTCCTAGATCTGGGCACTCGTCAAAGTTTTTTTTTCATTTTTTCTTCTCCTTCTTTCCTAGAAAAAAGGTTTTACTTCTTTGCCGAGTGTAAAAAATAAAACACTCGGCAAACCCTCTCTTTGTCGAGTGTTTTTTTACACTCGGCAAACCTCCTCTTTGTTGAGTGTTTTTTTTTGCCGAGTGTTTTTAGCGCAGCACTCGACAAAGAACTTGTTCGGCGAGTGCCCGAGGGAATACACTCGGCAAACCTAAAAACACTCGGCAAATTTGACGTTTCCGGTAGTGAGGGAAAGAGGGGGTAGAGGGAGGCCAAGCACCCAACATTTCTATGTTCCCTATAATACACCTTCTTAACTAGCTATTTAATAATCTAATTAGCTAGTTAATGATGCTATTTATGTTTTGGCTCCATGTTCTTTCTCCAATTTAACCTCTATTAGCATCTTATATAATTGAGAATTAGATTTTTCTATTTATTTTTCTCTTCGTCTCTTTTGTTCCTCCATATTATAATCTCTAATAGCATCTTATACAATTAGCTAGTTAACGATGCTATTTGTGCTTTTTATTAAACATCTAGTTCGGCAACATAGTACACTCTCTAACTATCTTCTTAATTCTAATTAGTGATGTGCTTGTTTGCTTTCTCCAAATTGATCTCCAATGACATCTATATTATTCAGGATTAGTCTTCTTGTTATCTTCATTATCTCCCTCTATTTTTGTTAGTACCATGATTTTTTCCTGGCCAATTAGATTGATGGAGACCTGCTAATTAATTATGTTTTTCTCTATATAATATTCAATTTTATTTTTTTAGTTTTCAGTTTTCTTTGCATTGTAACACAAATATTTATTTGGTTGCTATGCTTATCCTATATAATCTATATTTTTCGTCATACACCATTGTTATTGGTTTGAACAACCCCTGTGTCTAAATCCTAGTTCTGTCCTTGACCAAACATCAGGCTAGCTTGTTGCAAGGTGCAACCGGTGCAAGTCTAACCATGGCTAACTTCTAGATATAGACAGGCTTAAACTAAAGCAAGCAACAAATGTCCCATAGCGGTTGGTTGTGTGTTTGATTAGGTCTGGATAACGAGCCAACTCGGCTTGTCTTAGCTCGGCTCGACTCATTTACGAGCTTGAGCTAGCTCATTTAACTCACGAGCCAGGTACAAAAACACACGCAAAATATATTATGTGCATTTATCTGAAGCTTAAGAATAGTAATAACACATCCATGATCCTTAAATCAAATAAAAAATATGTGCTAATATATATATACAAATATAACAATATGCTATAGTATTACACCATACATGTATTACACCATACATACCATACAAAATGCATCCATAATCTATTACTGATTATCCATACATCTATTAAAAATAAAAGTGATAAGGTCATAATAATCCTAAGTTTACTGGGTCTAGGCCAGTCATCATCTAATTGTAAAGTACAAGACATGAAGTAATGTAAAACTAATATAAGTTCAAGACCAACAGATTTAGCTTGTTAGGCTACATTAACTACACGAGCTAAAATGTCGGTTCAGCTCGTTGAAAAATATAAACGAGTTGAGCCACCACTAACGAGCCAAAGTCGAGCGAGGTGCCGAGCCACGAGCTTTCTCGTCCGGACCTTTGCTTGATGGATCGGCTCAACGGAGCAGACATTTCATTTTGCATTCGTTGTTTCAGCATATTCAAATTTTCCCCAAGGGCCGGGTTCATTTTCATGAGAGCATCTCTAAGAGCCTTTCCAAATCTCACTCTCTAAATCATCATATAGAGAGCTATTTGTATAAAAATTATTTTTTATCTTTTCACTCCCCAACAGTTTTTCTATATCTCATACGCACTCTAGAGAGACATTCTCGTCTTTTATTTTTTGGTTAGCGAAAATCTAGAATAGAAGATGACTATATTTAAATGACTATTTAAAAAAACTGTTGAGGGATAGTTTTTCATTAAAATATCTATTTTTAATATTTAGGAAGGATACCAAGAATCTAGAGATGCTCTCATGTGAAAATTAGTTTAGCACGGTCGGCCATTGAACTGACCTGTAAGCACAGTAGCACCTGTTTGGTTGGTGCACTGCGGTCCTGCTCAGCTGCTAATAAGTATCCGTTATGATATAATATTTTTCTCCCTAGTAAATTAACCGTACGAATGACCCAGGACAGCTTAAAGACGAGCCCCCGGCAGCCACCGACCGTTCGCCCGCCGGGCGCCACCCCTGGAGCCTGGAGCACCGCGTACGTGGGTACTAGTACTACGGCCCGACGGCCCGACCTGATGCTGATGTGAGCCAACGCTGCGCTGCCCTGCCTAGCAGGCTAGCACAGATGCAGAGCAGCTGCAGCACGGCGCCGAGGGAATCCCCGCGCTTGGTTGGGCGCATGGGCCATGGCCGCGTGCCTGCCGGCTCGAGGCACCCGTACCACGGCGCGGGTGGGGCTCGGGCCCGTGCCCGGCGACGAGTTGTCAAGTCTACTCCGCCCCGGGTGGGTGGGTGATGGTCGGGTGGCGACGGGACGTCGGAGTGGTGGAGTGTTGCGTGCGCGTCCTGCTGCCCCTGCCCGTCGTCCTGGTGTGGGTCAGCCGTGGTGGTGGTGGTGTGTGTGTGTTTTGACGGGGTCGGGCACACGTCCCATCCGGTCCCGTCCTCGCGTGCGTCGCGGTGGGCTCGCCGCTCGCGCCAGGGACGACGGACGGATGCCGCCGAGTCCTGCGGGTCTGCTGTGCTGCCCGTTGTTTCATTGGCGGATCAAATAATTTTCAAAAAAATAAATATTGGCGGATCAAATCAGTCGGGGGGCCCTGGACGCGTCCACACCGCTTGCAAAGACGGGCGTTGGTGGTGTTCGAGATCAAGAGATGAGCTGCCCATCTTGCGAGTCACAGACCGTGCTTGCAAATTGCATGCAGCGCACTGCGCACCGTGCTAATGCTAACAAGAGGCTGAAAGCGTAACCACCTCTGGTCTCTGGAGGATCAGAAAAATGTTACTACATCCCTGGGTACCAGCAGCGTCCAGCTCTAGCAGCGGCTGTTATCGCCCGATTGATGCCCGCTCACCAGGATCGTGGCTGTACAAGACTCCAGCCGTCCAGCGTCTCAAAGCGCCTCGCTAGTCGCTACTGCTTCCTCCAGCAAGCAACAGGCCTACAACTTCCTAGTTCCTAGACAGGTCCTATTCGTTTTGCTGAAAAATCTTGGTTGAACTGTTCGCTGACTCGTTGTGAGAGAAAAACATTGTTCATTCGTGAAAATAGTACGGCTTATAAGATAAGTGAACAGAGTCATAAGCCGCATTCACAGTAGCGAGTTCGTGTCCAGGAAATTCTACACAGAGGCTACTATATATCCTTGAAAAAAGTCCATATTACCTCCCTCAACTTTGGCGAAAGTCCGTTTTTCCTCTCTGAACTCTAAAACCAGACAAAACACCTCCCACAACTTTCAAAAACCGTTCACCTTCCCTCCCTAGCCTGGTTATAAACGGTTTTGAAGGCAGTTTTGTCTTTTTCTTTTTTATTTATTTCGGCTGAATCTTTGAAAAATCATAGTAAATCACTGAAAAATCATAAAATAGAAAATCCAATTTTGTTGGACTTCACATGAGTAGATCTACACATTGAACATATAATATGGTATGCTTTAGTACAAAGTTTTTGATGTGGCTTTAGATTTATTCTTTTATGTAATTAACTGGAATAATTCATAGCTGCAGTTTCTATGGTCCAATTGTGATAAAATTTTTATGGTGGGCTAATTATTGTTTGATTGAAATGTAGTAAAAATTTCATACTCATTCGATCATGTATAGCTTAGTTATAGATTTATTTATATTTAACAAGCATAAACCTAAATAAAATCTATAACTAAGTTATACATGATACAATGAGTATAAAATTTTTACTATAATTTAAGTATACAATAATTAGTCCACCATAAAAATTTCATCATAATTGGACCATAGAAACTGTAGCTATGAATTATTCTATTTAATTATAGAAAAGCATAGAAAGCCGCAGCAAAAACTTTGTACTAAAGTATAACATATTATATGTTCACTGTGGATCTACTCATGTGGAGTCCAACAAAATTAGATTTTCTATTTTATGATTTTTCTGTGATTTACTATAAAATTTCAAAGATTTAGCCGAAATAAATAAAAAAAAAGAAAAAAAAACAAAACCACCTTCAAAACCGCTTATAACAGGGCCAGAGGTAAGATGAACGGTTTTAAAAGTTGAGGGAGGTGTTTTGCTCGGTTTTAAAGATTGAGGAGGAAAAGTGGATTTTCGCGAAAGTTGTGGGAGATAATGTGGACTTTTTCCTATATCCTTCTAATTCCCATATGGGCCGGCTTCCCGATGCTACAGCAACGGAAACTAGCAATGGGCCAACCGTATTGGAAGGTTCTCCAAAGCGGGCCGTTTTGTAAGATTCCTCCTCGTTGGGTCGGGCAGACAACGGCCACAGCTAAGAATTCGGCGGGCGCAGCAGTCGGCCGTCACCGCTTCGAACATCGCCCACTGGCGGGGCTCGTTCATAAGCTTCCGATCCAGCATCCGCCGCACGCATCAGACCGTCCGTTCGAATCCCCGAAACCGTCCCCAAATCCGACCATTCGCCCGCCCAAGGCCCAAACCCATCGCCGGCTCGCCCTCCCGCCCCCGATCGAGAAACCCTAGCTCCGCCGCTCGCCGGCGATGGAGGCGCCGGACGAGGAGGCTGGGCTGGGACTCCCTGAGGGCGAGCGGCTGCTGGAGGTGGCCCTCATCTCCGCGCAGGGGCTCAAGCTCCCCTCCGGCCTACGGCGGCGGCTGCACGCGTACGCCGTGGCCTGGGTCGACGCCGGGCACAAGCTCCAGACCCGCGCCGACGACACGGGCGGCCTCGACCCGGCGTGGCACGCGCGCCTCCTCTTCCGCGTGCGCGAGGCCTCGCTCGCCGATGACTCGCGCGCTGCCGTCTCCGTCGAGATCTACGCTGCCGCCGCAAGCTCCTGGCACCTCGTCGGGGACTCGCTCGTCGGCTCGGCGCGCTTCCTCCTTGGCGACCACCGCCTCCTGTCCCGCCCCGTCGGCTCCCCCTCTATGTTCGCCGTCGGCGTGCGCCGCCCCTCCGGCAGGGTCCACGGCCTCCTCAACGTGGCCGTGAGCCTCGTCGCGGTGCCACCGTCCCCGGCCGCCTGCCACGCCCTCCGCCTCTCGCCGGCCGTCTCCCTCAGCGGCCTCTCCGTGGCGCCCACCCCAAACCGCGTGCTCCGCGTCCTCAACCGCACGCACCCGACACCTCCACCGTCCCCGAGGCTTCTTACGCCCAGGAAGCAGCAGGTGGTGGTCAAGACCGACAATAAGGTCGCGGACGACGGCAGCGATGAGGAAGGGGCCGAGGAAGACGCGAGGGGGATGGGCGGGGTCGTCTTCTGCGGTCCCTGCGTCTTACCATTACCAAGGAAGATACACACGAGCCCCTCAGACGAGAACCTGCAGGCCTTCGCTAACATCATCTCTGGCGGCGGGCTCAGGCATTGCCGGCGGAGCCCTCATTTTTTAGGAGTCCAGGCAAGTAGGCTCCATTTGACTTCTTGAGGTCAAGGTATAGCTGAGTTGTATCATAGCATCTCTTGTTATCATCAGAAATACGTTACATCAAATTTTGTGTAGATTCAATGGAACTATAGAGTATTTGTGCCGCATATATCAGTCTTGAAATTCTTTGCTGGTCTCTAGTCTATCATGTTGAAGAAAGCTGCTTCTTGCTCGATACATATTGCTAATTTCAGTGGGAAACAATACTTGCAGCATTTACAAAGTCTTATTATTTACTCTCTCTGTCCACATATTGCTGACATTCAAAATTTGTACACAAATGTAAGCATTTTTGGCATAATCCACCCCTCTCCCCTCCCTGATCATAAACTTATCTATTCCGCACACGCGCAGCCTTATCTGCTCTGCAAGCAGCTGGAGGCACCTCCACCCTCCCTCGTGACCTTTCTGCACACATGCGGCAGCAGGATGCTGTGGCAGCCACAGCTACCATTTATTACCTTGTGTAATGATAATAGCTCGCTTTGAATGGCACTAAACACAAGGTGACTCACTGACTCGGGCCCTTCAATGAGTGACACCAAAGTCTTTTATCTTGTTGCTTATTGACTATTGAGTTATTGTGCCCTAAAAATATCAGAAATGCTTATCTTATAGAGTATATGTGGACAGAGGGAGAATGTTCATATCTTGATGGTACCTGTTCTCTTTTGTTCAGCTATGTTTTCCAGCATTGATCTGTTATGACCGGCATCCCCTATGCCAGGCGCAAGCCCAATAGTGGCTAGGGGGGCCGGTCTGTTAAGGGGCTTAGAGGCCCAATTTATCGCTTATTTGGTATTTTTTTAGAGATAGATATAGTTCCTTAATTATAGCATCTATAGGGAAGGATAAATACTTGTAATCGGGGATGATTGGAATTAAGCAGAAAGCAACAATTAAGTTGCTGGCTTCCCTTGGAGCCAGCCGTCCCTGCCCTCAACCTCGTGTGAACAGTACCCGCGTTACTGTAGCGCTAAGTGAACTCTAGGGCTGCAGCAGCAGCAGCCGCTCTCGCCGACGTCGAGAGTACAGACCACGTCCTCCCCTCTTCCACCCCTATAACCTGCGCAGCAACACCGGTAGGGCATCAAGTCCTATCATGATCCCTCTGGGTGTTTGGTGCCAAGGATGCATGGTCATTTGTTTTTTTAATGTTGTAACCCATACTGTGAATTGCTCTGGGTTGATTGAGCTATAGAGGTATTGCAGAATCTGATTCGACCAGTTCTGTTTTCTTTTTGACTAACGGATGAAATCGGGGCATGAATATGATAGTTGACTCCCACGCAGGGTTCTATGGTTGTTCCCCTACTTAGATCTTTCATATACAGCTGTAGGAAACTAGACATGTCTTGTGAAGCACAATTTTGTTTGTGTGCTCTTGTTCATTGACCTAATGACGTAGCTATTGATACTTGATAGATTGCCTATTGCTGGTCATATAATTTTGAAACTAATCTGGTGTTGAAAAGCTAAAAGCATCCAATTGTTATTCTTTGATTACCCTGAGATGGCTGAATATGCACAATATACTTAAGTTTATCTGCAGAGAGCATTATTATCGAACTAAAAACAGGGGTGGATCCACCAATATGGCCAGGCATGGAAGCTGCCATAGGTGCCCACTGATTTGAAACTCCCACTCCCCTGTGTTGCTCAATTCCTTGTCCGCCAGCACCTAATGTTAAGCAATGAATGGATGGGGTCACAGGGAAAACAGCATGGCCTGCGGAATGTGCGAGGCTGTATAGGTAATTGGACCGCAAACTGCTTGATGAATAGCGATTTTTTCAGTACGAATTTCTAATTATACATCAAAGGTTGACAAGAGGAAACTTGTGAAAAGACACACTTGAGAAAACTCCCCCCTTGAATTACTGCTAATACTGTTGTGCACAACTCCTAGCAGAAGAGCCCTAGCTAGTTGCATTGGATTACCAAGATGAGATATTGAGGTGTGCCTTAGGCATATAGCCAGAAGCCAGATGATGAATTTGCCATACCTAAGATTTTCATTTTAGTGGCTTATAGGTTCTTTTGGTGATCTTTTTCTCCTCTTTATTTTCCACAAAAATAATTTGATCAATTAAGCAGTCCAATAGCCTTTTAAAAAGGTGAATGGTTTTGATGACAAGCATGGGCCTTAAACATAGCGTGCATAAAGCGTGGGGAAGGATAAACATACTGTTCAAATGCTAAGAGTGAAGTGATTTAACTGGAAGGAAATACTGTTATTTGTAACAGGGCTGTGCACTTGTTCAGTATCTCCAATATTACAAATCTGGTAATCGGGCTAGTGTTAGCTTGGTTTCCGTTTGTGTTTTCCCTTTAGACATTTGACCAAATGATTGTCATTTTCTCATACATTTCATCCATAGTTCTTGAGCTATGCAATGCATGGGTGTTTGATTATTTTCTATCATATATGTGATGGTTTCTGCATTGTTGCGTTGAATGGTTGAGCATGTGGAATCAGTACCTCTTGACATTCTTATAGGTCTTTCAATCATGCTCCCATCTTAAGGGAACTCTGAACTCTGGATTGGATTTGACAACTGTAGGACTGTTCTGGTCTTGATCAACCCAATAAGACTGTTTAGGGAGTAACCAAAGCTTTGCAGGGCGCAAATAGGGTCCATATTTTGAGTTGTTTCTCTGGGGATTGGTTCTGGATGTTTGTCAATTTAAGTTGTCATAATTTGGGCCATTGTGCTTGTTATTGGCTTCTTTTTGGGACTAGCAATTCAATGGCACTAAGGTTGGGGTGTTGTTGAGTATGAGTGTAATGCTGTTTTATTAAAATCTAATAAGGCTGCATAAAAGGTTGTGCCTTTTTAACCCTTCAGATGCATCTTTGCATGTTTCTCAGGTTCTTCTGAATTACTTACAAATGCACATATACTTCATTTATGAGAAGCTTGGAACTCATTGGTAAACATTTTAGAGAAGCTATGTGCATGTGCTATGGCAATCACAATCATATGTTCTCTGATCTTTTTTTTTTTTTTTTTTTTGCTATTACTTTCTATAAGATTGTGTTACTAAACTGTAACATTATACAAGTTCAATAAAGAAGAAATCTAGTGATAGTTGTCATATGTCCAAACATGTTTTTTTTAATATTGTTAATGGTGAAGCAGTAGTGCAGTATATTGTAGAGGTTGCAGAAGATACTTGGCCTTTCTTGCTGGTCACTCACCTATTTTTGTTTGTCCCACATTGAGGTCATATGCCTGTTCTTGGCAACACATGTCATATCAGGCAGCCATTATTTTGCTTTGGTTTTGGTTCGAACTGTTTTATACTTGAGCTTCTGAAGGGCTGAGGCGTGCTCACTTGTCTGCAATTTGGGCCACGATGAGAACATATACAATTAACTGCCTGCTGTTTAGCTGTCTACACAGAATGCATGTGAAGTGTGCTACAGAAGTAATCCCTGCCATTGTACATCTTGCCTTTAGGCCTTGGGGCAATTTCTTATTTGGCCCTGGTTTAAAGTTGTCTTTCTTTCTTGACCCTGAAACAAAATTTCTTACCTATTTGGCCTCACTCGAAGATTCGTTTTCCAATTTGGCCTTACCGTCATCTCCCGCCTCTAACACCGTTAAGTGGCACATGAAAAGACCAAACTACCCCTGAGAAATTATGTTGTTATGCTGCTTGGGTGATGTTTGGTTTCTCATAATGTCTCAGGGGCAGTTTGGTTATTTCATGTGCCACTTAACGGTGTTAGAGGCGGGAGATGACGGTAAGGCCAGATTGGAAAACGAAACTTCGAGTGAGGTCAAATAGGTAAGAAATTTTGTTTCAGGGCCAAGAAAGAAAGATAACTTTAAACCAGGGCCAAATAAGAAATTTTCTCTTATGCCTTAGTTTGGAAACTCCAGTCCCTCCGGGATCCTGGACTTTTCCCTGGGTGGGTAATTCATAGTTATCATTCTAATTTTTAGTGGGGAGTTTTCCATCCGTGGTTTTTGCTCCCCTTGCTTCTAAAAGAGCCCTTACTATTCCCACAAGTCTTCTTTACCATGAGCATTCTAAAGTTGCCATCATGGTTTCATATGCCCCATTTTTTCCCGTCCACTTCTCTATGGTAGGACTAGGATCCTATGATCTGATTTCACGGGTTCCATCCATCTCACAAGTCACAGCCCTTTTCACAATGACTTAACGAGTGGGGCAAACTGTTTGACAACTGAAAGGGACACTTGCGGCATCAGATTTACGTGGAACCCACTGTTTCCTCTGCTTATTGCGCTTATTGGGCACTGCATAATCCTCCAAAAAGCACCCATAAAGAAGTACGAGTACTTGGCGATTGTGACCTTACACCAATGGCCACTGCGTGCTACCTCACACACACCACACATCTTTTTTTTTCTTGGGTACTTTGCCATCTCCCTCCAACTGTGATCCACGTAGTCCCAATTCATGCTGCTGAGCCCACTGTATCTGTATGGAACGGACGTGCCGCGTAGTCTGTTCTCTGTTGGATGTATGATTTGGACCTCATTGGTTCATATTCTCCGTTCGTTCGACGAAGAATCATCCTTTAATTAGCTTTTCGGGTGCAGCGTTTGTGGAAGGCTTTGGTGGCGGTGAGGAGCATCAGCATCGAGCTGATAGAACTGAAAGCACTCTTAGGTATGGATCAATGGGTAAAACTTAGCTTAATGGGAGACTTGATGATGTACTTCACTATGCGCAGCCACGGCCTCGGCGCCACCGCGATATGGCCACTGGAGTCGTAGTAGTAGGGGGAGCAGAGACGCGCCTGCTAGGTCGTCATAGGTAGCAGCAGTGCGGGCGCGGTGCTGGTGGCGGCGGCGAAGGCGATGGCGATTTCTGTCGCTTACAGCTTCCTCTTCTAGATCGGATTGGGGTTTGGACATCACGGTGGGGCGTTGGCGGCTACAGTTAACCTCATATCGTGTGCCTCAGCTCCACCGTCCTTTTATGGTGCTGCGCGATAAGGGCCCATCAGCCACTTAGAATAG